AACTGGTGAATGGACAAAGAAAATGTGGCGTTTACATACGATCAAATACTACTCTGCTGTAAAGAACACTTCTGAGTCATTTGTAAGAAAAGGTACTTTGAAACTATAATACTAAATGAAATGAATAAGACATAAAGCTTAAATATCACAAGGGTTCTCTAATATGAGAAATCCAAAGTATAAATACATTAAAGGGAAAAGTAAAAGATAATAGGAAACAGAGAGATAGTTCTTATGCAAAAGAAATCAAAAGACGGAGGGAGGGGCACAGGAGAAGAAAGGGATGTAGAAGGAGCTAAGACATGCTAACGTGTACTTTTCAACCCTGTGATAAATGTAATCATATGTACTGGAAGTATGTACTAATGAAAACGGTCTTTTAAATTTAAAAGATGCTATAAGACTCTGACAGCAAATCTCTTCACTTTTTTTCTTCCCCTCATATGTAAACTTTTTTTGAATTTTTTTTTTTTTTTTATGAATTTAGGACAGGGTCTACAGGACATACAGGGTCTCACTACGTAGACTGGACTCATAGTGATCCTTCCGTTTACAGCGCTGGGATTACAGGCAAGTGCCTCCATGCCCAGTCTCAGTGCGCCCCAGAGGTGGGGCCGGCACAGCACACTGGGGATTGAACCCCCGGCCACTGTGCTCTGCCTAAGTAGGCACTTTAGCCTGCCGAGCTATCTAGCTGGCCCTTGTATAAACTTTTAATTCAAGAGTATCATCAAATTTAACACCAGGAAAGCATAACTTTCTTTTATCAATTCAGAAATGCTAATGGCCATGTTTTCTTTTCACCTGGAGTGATTACAATAAATATAACTTCTGGATGTCTAGCTGATCTAGGTTCTATACTTCTACTTAATACTCAATCTCTGAGGTCATGAAGTTCCTGCACTTGTCACCACATACTGCATTATGCTACTTCCTCATACTTCTCACCAAATTTCCAGGAAACATCTGGAATAACATCAGGGGGTTGGTGTTTGATCAAAACTACATCCTCCACCTCATTCATTTGCAAGTGACTAATTTCAACCCTTAGGTTTACGCTGAGTATGAATGAGTACATTGCAAGAGCTTGCTAACACCAGCAGAGACACAATGGACTTGTTAAATCACCAATGGAAACCCTGAAATTGTTCACATCCTCTGCCCTGACAGAGGTGCTACTTGAGGTATTGCACAACACTCTTAGTACTGTCCTCTATTTTTGCAACCATCATGGTTAACTATAGGTTGACTATCTTTTACTCAAAATGCTTGGGACTAAAAGTGTTGTGGGTTATGGATATTTGCATATACATAATGAGGTGTCTTCCAGATGGGAACCAAGTATAAACACAAAATTTACTTATGTTTCAAATAAACTTTGTGTGCTGTGTACAGCCTGAAGGTAACTTTATGCAATATTTTTAGGATACCTGCAACTCATTATATGAGGGCAGGTGTACAATTTTTCACTTATAGCATCATGTTAACACTCAACTTTTGGATTTTGGAGAATTTCATGTCCTGGAATTTGGAAAGTAGGGATCTTCAACTTGTACTGACTACTCAAAGTCAACCCCAAAGATCCTCAAATAGAACTTTAACCTCACTGGGTGCAGTGGTGCATGCCTATAATCTCAGTATCAGGAGGGTGAGGCAGGAGGACTGCTGCCAGTTTGAGGCCAGCCTGAGCTACCTAGTTAGTTCAAGTTCAGTCTGAACTGCATAGTGAGACCCTGTCTAAAAAAAAAAAAAAGAAAGAAAAGAAAGAATTTTAATCTTAGTCTAGTATTATTTTATTCATTTATGTTTTTATATATTTCGTACAAAGTTTCGCTACACAGCTGAGATTTGTGGTGATCCTCCTGTTTTCAGCTTGCCCAACACTGGGATTACAGGCGTGCGCTACCACACCCAGTCTCAGTGGCCAGCTCAGTGCTCTTGAGGGTGGAGGCTGGTGGGGTAAGTGGAGCCGGGGATAGAACCCAGGTCCTTGTGCTTGCCTAGGCAGGTGCTGAGTCTGCTGAGCTATCTCACTAGCCTTAGTCTAATATCATTAAATGAAAGCTCCAGAACACTGGTTTTAAACTCTGGTTACACACTAAAAGCATTAGATCAGAATCTTATATACCAATGTTCAGCTTCCTCTTCCTTCTCTCACTGCTCTACAAAAATTTTATTGATTGGCTGGGAGTGAAATCTAAGCATCAGTATTTTCTGAAAAGTATCTTAGCTATACTGCATGGAAGTACATTAGGTACAACAGCATGTCCAACTTGTAGAGATCCTCCTGTCTCAGCCTCCCCAGAGCTGGGAATACAGGCATGCACCACCACATCTGGTTTCAGTGGCCAGCTCCATCTGGGGCCAGCAAGGTATGCAGTACTGGGGAATGAACCTAGGTCCTTGCCCTTGCCAGACAGTCACTTAGATTGCCAAGCTATCTCCCTGGCCTCGGGCAATGTGATTTTCAATGCATATATACGCCATGTAGTGTTCAAATCAGGTTAAACTATCTCTAAAAAGGTTCTGCTTAAAAGAATCTTTACTTTTGAAAAGAAAAAATATATATATATATAAATATTTATGAATGAAACACTATAACACAAACTGGGGAGATGGCAAGGAATGAGTGAGATTTGGCTGACACAGGAGTATTCACAATTGATGAACACAGTAACTAGACAACAAGAACACGACACTTCACTGTGTTAGTCTTCCTTGGGGTAAATGTAAAATTTTCTACCACCTATACTGGAGGGACAAAATCCTAGGTGATCCTAACAAATACCTAGGGCCAAGAAGTCTGCTCTGAGGTCTTGACCCTGATGTATAACAAGGAGCTCTGTCTGGCATTACCAGCTACTGAATACTTTACCTAGCTCTCTAACACTGAATCAATCACTTAATCTCTCTGCATCACTTTCCTAAACTGCATAACAAGATATGGAATACAAGACCTTTTTAAAAAAATGCTTATTATTTTAAAATGATCTCTCAGAGAGCTAATGTCAGAGTTAACTTTTATCACAATAGTGAAAACTGGCAAAGTTTTATGTCTAAAAGAACACTTGCAAGTTAATGTTCTAAAAAACTTTACTTCTGTAGAATGTTAGTAGACATTATTCAAGATAGGGTTCTGAAGTCAAGTAATTTTGGAAAACGGTTCTTTTTGTAAGATATATAAGAACTTTAAAGAACTTGCATTATGCCTTTCCAAAGAGCAGCAACAGGCTGGAAAAAGCTTGGCTTTCTTTACTGAGGACTAGTCTATGTAGAAGCTAGTTTAAACCAACAATTCCCAATCTACCTAATGAAGAGTGGCATTAGTATTACTTGGTAAACTTATAAAACAGTTTTGTAAAGGGCATGCCCTATGCCCCACGAAGGGAGGGGAGAATTCAGTATTCAAACAAAAATATCCAAGTGAATGGAGCATGGTGGTGCATGCCTGTAACCACAGCACTCTTGGAGGCTAAAGCAGGAAAGCTTGAAAGTTCAAACCTAGTCTGGATAGCTTAGCAAGACTATCTCAAAATTTAACTGGTGGTGGAGTAGGGTGGGGAACTGGGAGATCCCCAGGCACGGAACTCAGTACAAAGGTCCTAGGTTCAATCTTCAGTACCATAAAAAAAAAAGTTACTGCCAATATACAGTAGTGTTTGGGAATTAGAGTTCTATAGACTATACTACAGAAAAGCCAACTGTGTAATATCTGAAGAGCAACATCAATTCCAAACAATACAAAAGGTCTTAATAGTTCTCAAATACTAGTATTTCATCCATGGGAAAAGAGAACCTATATACATATGAAAGTTTAGAAAGTACTAAATGTTAGAAGTGTTGGTCAATTTAAATCCATTAAGATAACTAATGACTTCATAATTACAAGGATAAATGATCTCTATTGTTAATTAAAAAGTAACCTGTGGTTCTGGGTGTTTCTCCATGTCTTTCTTTTGCCAGAGTTAATAATGACCTAGGGCCATTCTGTTAAATTCAGAAAGTGCCACACACACACATGGCTTCTCCAAGACAGAGCTCCTGACTTCTTCCTTATATGACACTACCTCAAACATCAGGAAAGTTGATTGGAAACTTTGGAAAATGCATTTACTCATACCTGGTGCTTGCAGAACTACGCCATTCAGTGAACTGGTCAATAATAGACTTTCAGGCTTAAAAGAACGAACTACTGCTATTAGTAATTACACAACATTTATATCAAGTTCTTTACTTCACTAGGCATTTGCACATGAATTGTATTGTGTCTTCCCTCACAAAAGCCCTGTGGATTAAGTAGGCATAATTATTTCTATGCAACCAGTAAGAACTACTAAGCTTTTCATGTGCTAGTATAGTGAAAAAATGTAACTGAGGGAGATGGCAAGGCTTCCACTTTCAAATAAATTATAACCTATTAGAAAAGAAAGGGCAGAGGAGATGGCTCAGCAGGATAAGTGCCTGACTGGCAAACGCAAGGATCTGAGTTCAATCCCCGGTTCAGCAAAAAAAAAAAAAAAAAAAGAAAGAAAGAAAGAAAGAAAGAAAGAGAAAACATAAATTTTATACAAGAAACAGCTGAAGTCACCTCACAGCTATAATGTTAGCTGAGCAAATTAGCATGGCAGGACACATACTAATAATAGCTAACACTTCCTCAACAATTTCACTGTTACTCAACTCTTGGGGTAGGTTACTATTAGCTTCCTTTTACATGAATAAACTGACACAAATAGAAATTAAGTAGCTGCCTAACCAAATCATAGTGAGCCAGGATTTGAGTTCCAGATTGCCCTTGTTCTGTGCATCACTCCTTTTATCATCATATTTTACTGGTAGGAAAGAATCTCCCAGACTGACAGAGACAAACATCACATCTTAGATGGAAAATGACCACTTTCCATAAAGCTGGGATCACTGGCTACCCTGCCCAGCAGAAAAGGAATCAGAAGTTAGAGATTCACCATGACTCAGCAGTGTGCTGCCCCACAGTACATTACCTCCTTGATTCGTTTAACCAAAGCGTTCTGGTCGAAAGCAACGGCCTCCGCACACTGGCGCAGGTGAGCCTGGTACCGGAGGCAGAGCTGCAGCACCTGCTGGGAATCCAGTCTTTCCAGCTTGGCATTTGTGGGGGAAGTCTGGCCACTCAGCAGCCCTTTAACACAGAAAAGGAAAATGAAGTGAAATGGAAGTTTCTGCTAATAAATTTGTGAATAAAACTATTATAACAATTTCACTGAAGGGAGAAGACATTTAATCTTGCATCTTTTGCTGTATGCTAATCAATCCAACTATCACTTGAGCATCTGTCACCTGCCAACCACTTTTGCCAAGTGCAGCTTTCCTGTGCATTATTTTCTACACTTATACCTCCGAAAATAAGGTGGTTTGCCTCATTTGACAGACAAGGCAGTTGAGACAGAGAGATTGAGAAACTAGCAAAGCCATGTAGCTAGCAAATTGTTTCTCCAAGAAAGAACTCTAATCTTATCATGCTATTGTTACTTCCAGGTATTAGGAATACTATTTTTTTTAATTAATTTATTTATTTTGGGGGGGAGGGGCAGCTCAGCCCACCAGGGGGCGGGGCTGGCTGGCATGTGGTGCTGGGGGATTGAACCGCGGTCCCTGTGCTTTGCTGAGCCATCTCACCAGCCCCTAGGAATACTATTGACTACACGATGTATTAATTTCTCTCAACAACAAAATGGGTGTCTGAAAAATTAATACTGTAAAATGTGAAAGAAAACTATGAAGAAATTCTAAAATGAAAAACAAGTGGGGTGTCAACTAGAACATGATTAAACCTACATTTTTTACATTTTCTTTCTGTATCAGTTTAGTAACATAAACCTTCTGAACTTAACATGGGGCATTACTTTTTTAAAACCTTTCATAGATCCAGTCCTAGCCCAGGCCCAGTGAGTGTGGGGGAGAGCTTCCCGCTACCCTGCGCCGGCAGGACCTACTGGTCCCAGCCCAGGCACAGCGTGGCTGAGACCTTCTTCCACCCCCTTGGCCCCCCACCACTCTGCAGCACCTCCCCCACTCCGAGTGCCAAGTAGGAATTTCTGCTGCATTGCGGAAACCCTAGATCCAGTCCTAGCCCAGGCCCAAGAGTGTGTGGGAGAGCTTCCCGCTACCCTGCGCCAATGGGAACCACCAGTCCCAGACCAGGCACAGCGTGAGACCCTCTTTCACCCCCTTGGGACGCCCCCCACAATGCCCACCGAGTAGGAATTTCTGCAGCGTTCCAGGAATCACTAGATAAAGTCCTAGACCGGGCCCAGTGAGTGTGGGGGAGAGCTGCCTCTCCTCACTACTCCACTTTGTCCCCTCCAAACTCAGCTCAGGCCTGGCATACAGGCCTGGGGCAAAACCCTGCAGCTGCAGTACCTGCAGAGTGCGTAGGGGACAGAACCACCCAGCTAGTCCAGGAGCAGAACACCTTGCCAGAGGGACACAACAGGTTCACTGCCAAGGGCAGCAGCAGGAAGAAACTGAATACAGCAGCCAGACCCAAGCCAAGCACAACTGGATAAATCCAAACTTTGTAGATCAGCACCTGAACTTCAGTAGGTGCTAAGGTTATAACTGCACCAAAGATCTACAACAAAGGTCAGAAGACAGTGCTGTACAAAGTGACAATGAGAAGGATCAAAATGCAATCTCAGAACCCAAGCCCACCCATAACAAGTGCAGAGGACACTAATACAGAACAAAGTGGGAATGACACAGCTGAAATCAATGAATCAACGGCTTCTGAAATAAAGAAACAGCTGCAGAAAGGTATAGAGGAACTCAGATTGAAAATGAAAAAAGAAATCCCTGAATTAATAACATCTGCACTAAAGAATCAAATGCAGAAACATATGGAGGAAACCCAATGCCCACCCAGAACAAGTGAAGAGGACACTAGCTCAGCTCAAATGCATGAATTAATAGTGTCGATAGTAAATAAGCAACAGCAGAAAGTTATAGAGGAACTCAGAGCAGAATTCTTTTCTAAAATAAAAAAATAATTCTCAGAACTCATAGCATTTGAAGTAAAGAATCAAGTATAGAAACACAGGGAGGAAACCCAATCTGAAAAAAACACTGCAATAAAAGAATTTATAACTGCTTCTAAAGAAGACATTGATAAAAACAAAAAACAAAAAACAGGAGATTAGAAAAAATGACGGATTCCTTGAATGAGCAATACAGGAAAGAAAAAGATCGCATGAAGCAGAGTCAAAGAGATACAGAGGAATTTAAAATCTCAATCACAAGCTTGCAAAACTATTTAAGTGAAAGTGAAGATAGAATTTCAGATCTCGAAGATGCTGTTGCAGCTAGTGAAAAGGTAAGAAAGGATCTCTTAAAAACAACTAGGATGCAGGAAAAAAAAAATACTCCATCACCTGTAAGATGATGCAAAGATGAACCATGTGAGACTAATAGGCATCAATAAAAAAGAAGGAGTCAATACAAATGACGTTAAAAAAATATGGACAGAAGTAATAGCAGAAAACTTTCCAAATATGAGGAAACAATCTGACATTCAGATAACCGAAGCATACAGAACGCCGAGTAACCTCAACCCCATTAAAAACACACCGAGACATATAATAGTCAAGATCCCAGAAATTCAGCACAAGAATAATATACTGAAAGCTGCTAGAGAAAAGAAGCAGATCACATTCAAAAGAAAACCCATCAGAATTACGGCCGACTACTCTTCACAAACCATGAAGGCAAGAAGAGCATAGAGTACTTCAACTCCTCTATGAAAACAAATTCTAGCCCAGACTACTATACCCTGCAAAACTCTCTTTCAAGATGGATGGAGAAGTAAAATACTTCCATGACAAAGAACAGCTAAAGAATTTCATGATGACAAAGACAACCCTACACAGGCTACTGAAAGATGTTCTAGAGAGGGACTAAAATGATCAGAACTCCATGAATGAGATCAGAAGCAACCGACTAAATAGGGCAAGCAATTAAACACAGGAGAAAAAGGAGTAAACAACAACAGGTAAATAACATGTCAATCGTAAGTCCATACATCTCAATTCTAACCATCAATGTAAATGGACTCAATTCACCCATTAAGAGAAATAGACTACCACAGTGGATTAGGAAACAAAATCCAACAATATGCTGTATACAAGAAACACATTTAACTCATAAAGACATTCATAGGCTGAAAGTCAAAGGATGG